TCTAAAATATGCTTGGATGAGCACTTGACATAACATTCAAGGATATGGGACACGTGCAGGAGATGGGATTCGCGTGTCTTTTGTTAGTGGCAGTTATTGTCGGTGCCGACTCAATGGGCCGAAGGGCCTTTTCTACGACGTATGACTCAATGACTCTCTCAATGGTAACTCCCCAGGAAGTTGATATTGGGGGATTCAGTGATAGCAACAACATTGAACATCAAGGGACAGTGGTTAGATTTTCTGTCAATGGTAACCCCCGCCCCCCGCCCGGGTGTTGGTAACTGGAATGGAAGTAAAGTCTGCATTAGCTTTTGACTCCATCTAACTGCTTAACTCTTTTAAATTATTTGCATTAAACTGGTCCCCACTGAGAGTCTCAATCGATGAGCGAACTCCATGGTTTTTGAACTCGGTGTGTTTTCTCCTCAGTTCCTGTCACAGATGCTGCGCTGATATCCCACACCAATGGGACTGAGATACAGCCCGGGGACCGCCTTGTTCTCCGGTGCCTGGTGAGGGAAGGCACTGAGCCCCAGTTCATTTGGTACCGTGACAACGTGCCGTTAAGAAACGGCAGTGCGAGCTCCCATTTGACTGCCGATGATGGTGAGCTGATTATTCATTCATTCCGGAGAGACAATGTCGGGAGGTATCACTGTGCAGCGATCAACAAAGGAACCAACGGCATCATTTTTAACGTGACCAGCGACTATATCGAATTCACGCTGCGAGGTAAGAGTGACAGTCAGATCAAACATCGACAGAGCGCAGAGAAAGGCCATTCGCTCCATCCAGTCTGTGCCAGTCGGAAACAATTAACCATCTCAATTGGGAAGGTGACGGCTGGATGGTATTATCGTGAGGTTATTAATTCAACTACCTTGGTCATGTTCCCAAGATCCCAGTTCAAATCCCACTCATACCCGATGGCAGAATTTGAGCGCAATAAAAATCTGGAAGTATAAGTCTTATCTGGAAGTATAAGTCTTATGGAGAGGTGCATGCAAAGGAGATTCACCAGGATGTTGCCCTGGGGTGGAGCATTTCAGCGATGAAGAGAGGCTCCATAAGATCAGGCTGTTTTCTTTGGAGCAGGGAAGGCTGAGGGGGAACTGATAGAGGTGTGTAAGTCTGAGGTTCAGGTGTGTAAGTCTGAGGTTCAGGGTCGGCGATGGGGGACGGGGGATAGCGAGCAGCTGTTCATCTGAGTGCAAGGGTGAATAATTAGGCGAGATTCATTTTGAAGTAGAAGGCAGGAGGGAAAGAGCGTGATTTGAGGATTGTTTCACTCAGTGGGTGGTGGGTGTTCCGGACT